GTCGGGCGTAATTTCCGCGGTTTCTAACCTGGATCCCCTTCCTTTTCCTCTCAGATTTCGACCTGTCCGACGCCCTCGGTGAGTAGAGCCTGGTTTTTTATTTTTGTTTTTTTAACTTTGCACACAGTGTGTCCCTTACAGCCTTGACGGTGTGAGCCCCTCGGGAAGGGGACAGTGCACAGAGGTCCAGCAGGGTCCACCGGGTGGCCGCTGGGGTCATTCAGTGGAGACGGTGACCTGGAAGCCGGGCAGCCTGGGGCTTGGGGAAGGGACTGGTCCCCTGAGGGTCACAGAGTGGCTGGACCAGGGTCCAGGCTGAGCTCCCTCCACAGCCTCCAGGGAGGCCCCTCCTGCCTCTCCAGCTCCTGGGCTCCAGGTGGCCCTGGGCGGGTGGCCCCTCACTGCAGTCTCTGCGTCCGTCTCCACGGGGCTCCTCCTCTGGGTCTGTGTCCCCTCCTCTGTCTCTGGGGAGGACACGGCCATGGCCTGAGGGCCCTCTGACCCGGGAGGAGCCCATCTCAGGACCCTCCACTAGTGACCTCTGCAGAGACCTTCTAGAAGTCGCTCAGTCCCACGCTAAATGGCTTAGAGCCTGGCTGAGTGGCTGAGGCTGGCCTCCAACTGGCCATCCTCCTGCCTCAGCCTCCCGAGCTGCAGGGATCCGAGCTGGGAGCCACCGCGCCCGGCCCAGCCTGGGTTCCTAGCGGAGGCCGAGCAGAGGCCGCTTGGGTGCAGGTCCCTGAGGAGGAAGCGGGATTCCCGAGGAGTAAAGGGGCACCGGGTCCCTCCCCGCCTTCTCCTCTGATCTCGGGCGTCCACTCTCGGTCTTGCTGGTCAGCTTCCTCTTTCTTGTGGTTTCCGGGGGCATCTGTGTCTCCGGAGGAAGGGGACAGCCCGGCGGGACCGTGCTGTGCAGCCAGCCAGCCGTGTTCCACGTGTGCACGGGGTGGGACGCGGAGCGGGCCTCCCTGCCTCCGTCTAGTACCTCAAGTTATTTTTGTTTCTTAGGGGACAATGACCAGAAGCCAACGAAGGCTCCCAGAAAGCCCAGCGATGACGGTAAGGAGGCAGAGTCCTCGCTGTGCAAAGAAGAAACAGGAAACGCTCGCTTCCCGGTCCCTAACTAACAGCAGGACACAGCTCCCGGAGCCACCAGGGGACATGAGTCACTCAGGGTGGTGACATTTTTTTTTGGCACCAGGGATTGACCTCGGGGACACCCGACCCCTGAGCCCCGTCCCCAGCCCTATTTTGCATTTTATTGAGAGACAGGGTCTCCCTGAGCTGCTCAGGGCCTCGCTTTGGCGGAGTCTGGCTTTGAACCCTCGATCCTCCTGCCTCGGCCTCCCCGAGCCCCTGCGGTGACCGCCGTGGGCCATTTCAATTCCATGTCCACGCCCAACTTTGGGACCCGTGGCCTCTGCCCGTCTATTCCTTAACGGGCATCACTGGGCCCCAGAGTGTGGTTGGAATCTTAGCGGATGGGATGGCCGCTGCCCGCCCCTGGCTGGCCTCGCTGCGGAGGCCGCTCTGCCTTAGCTGCTCGCTTGCTTCTGAAGGTGGCGCGGCGGGGAGCCCTCGCGCACTGAGCAGCTGCTGCTCGCCCTCCGCTGACCTAAGCTTGGCCGCGCTCGAAGCCCCGGGGCCCGTGACAAAGATCGTCCCCAAGCCCTGGCAAGGTGGGCACCGGGGTGGGGCCTTCCTGGAGGGGCGGGCCTCGACTCTGCAAAGGGAGGCACTCGAGACCCGCAGGAGGGTTGAGGTTTCTCTGCTGTGGGGGGGTCTCCCTCCTGCGCCCCGTCGGTCCTGGGGTCCAGCTCCGCGCTCCTGGAGGCCGTGTCTGCGAGAAGGACGGCCTCGTGCGTCCTGAGGTCCCGCAAATAGACGCGGTTAAGGCGGGATGAGGCTCTTGGACCCGGAGAAAGGTCCATGCACCAAGCGGGGAGTGTGGTCAGGGCTGCCCCAGGACCCAGAAAAAGCCACCGGACGGCTCCCCGCAGCTCAGGACGCGCACTGCGCAAAACGCAGTCGCAACTTTGTTGCAAATGAACCCGCGAAAGTTGCAACTTTGTTGCAAATGGACAGCGTGAGTCAGTTGCAACTTTGTTGTCCAGCGACACGGTGGAACACCCCGTGTGCAAGGTAAAGGGGAGCTACCCCAGGGTCCCCAGGGTCCCCTGCTGCACGCGCGCTCGAGGCTCAGCTTTGCTAATAACCCGCTGCTTCTGCTCCACCCCCGGGTGACCGTCTGTCCGTGCCAGCATCGCGCCCCGAGAACTTTGGAATTAACCCCCTGTCCCCGTTTCTAGGGAACGGCTTTAATCTCGAGGACGCCCTCGGCGGTGGCGGTGGTGGACACGGTGAGTGACCTGCTGCGGCCAGGGTCGTGGAGGTGCCCACGCGCGCATTTCCTGCCAGAAAGCAGCGAGGGGCGTCAGAAACCCGACTCGTGTTCTTTGATCCCTGCCGCCGTGAGCGGTGTGGTAGTTGGTGCTGGTGTCCGAGGTCCAGTCCCTGGTGGCCGCCTCCGTGGCCCTGGCCCAAGGGGAGCAGAACAAGATGGCGGCAGGGCCTGGAGGAGGAGAGCAGCTCAGGACAGGGCACCAGGGAGCAGAGAGAGCTCTGCTCACCAGGGACAGGACAGAGACCCCCAAGGCACAGCCCAGGGACCCCCTCCTCCAGCCACACCCCACCTGCTGCAGTCACCACCTGGTTAATCCACTGAAGTGGATTAATCCACTGTTAGTCTACACCTGTCACAACCCCATCATTTTACTCTGAATTTTCTTGCTTTGGGGGACACCTGCTGTCTAAGCCATGACCACCACTCTCTGGACCAGCTGACCCCACTGCCGAAGGTCAGGGCCACACAGGATTCGGGAGGATGGACTCCCCCCCCCCCAAGGGGCCGTCTGTTTGCTCCTTTTGCTGCTTTAGAGGTGAGTTCCTTCTGGGTGGTCCTTATTTTCCATTCCAAGTCTCTCGTTCCTACGAGGCGCCCAAGGATCCAACACGGTCTCACTTAGCACGACGTTCTCCAGTTCCACCCATTTTTTTTCCTGCAAATATCACGATTCCATCCTTCTTTAGGGCTGAG